AACTCTTGATGCAGTGATTTTTTATCAGTTCGTTAAACGATTATACATATATACATAGACGTAATTCTGAATCAGCAGGAATTTTCATCGAGCAATTTTTCGAGTCAATTTTTTCTCTTATATATTGTTAGCAGAGAGAGAACTCAATTGCTCGTCGTTATTATTTGCCAATAATCGACATCTTTCTGATTTAACGAGGCGAAAACGAATGAAAATATGCGAGAACTAAAATAAATGTTCAAGTGTAAAAGAATGAGATTTTATTTATTTGCATTCATGGGCGTCCGCAGGATTTTTTTCCAGAGAGGGACATGATTATAAAAATTTTGTTTCTTATTATTCTTTCTTAATTTTTTTCATTTATTTGTTATTTTAATATTTTTATATTAAATAAAATTGCAAATAAATTTCCCGTTGCCCCCTGCGGACTCTCATGTTTGCATCTCTTTTTCATACGAGAGACTTCGTCGTTTTCAATCTTTTTAACAGATTACAAAAGAAATTCCCCAAACTCTAACGTAGACAAAAGAGAAAAAGGGTAAACTTCTCCGCGGCTTTATATACACTTGTAATAACTTTCTAAAATATTTTTCCTACCTCTCTCTCGGATTGCCAACAATTACTTACACACAGAAAGAGAAAGAGAGAGAGAGAGAGAGAGAGAGAGAGAGAGAGAGATAACGGAAATTGCTCATTGAGACAGCAACAATCGCCGCTGGCAGTCGGGCGGAAGCAATTGCGGAAAGTATAATTCGTGGAGTGTATATACACTCTCTTTGAAGAGAGAAATGACGTAGCGTTAGGCCAGACCAGCCCTTTATCGCCGCCAAAATACGGGGCGGAACTTGTGCTCGAACTGGAGCTAAAATATTCTCGGGGGATGAAAGCGACGTGGTGGATACACGAGCAGCGAGGATCTCTTGCGAGGAAGGGAGACGTCATTAAGCGTTACAGGGAAAATACGTAATGACGGACGAGCATCGAGAGACAAGCGCGAACAAAGGCTTTGCGCTTCATCGTCCATCCGAGTTCTTTGTCGCTACTGTATGTCAAGACCGCCGTGAATGGGTCTTTTATCCGCCAGGAATATATTTAAAGTGTAATATCATCGGCGGTGTTTCGTCCCACTTTGAAAAATTATCCCGCCTCATCTAGCGACGCGTCCCCATACATCACGGTGATGTAATAGAAAACATAAACTCTCGTATTATATTGCCTTTCAAGTTACAGCTTATGACAGACACGCTTCGAAAGAAAAGACAGACAGAGAGAGAGAGAGAGAGACGATGTTTTTTCTGTTTGATAAAAAAACTTTTGTAATACTCTTGAAAGGATATTTGAATTTTTAATACACGTGTGGTTATTTTTATTAGAATTTTTGTTTTGCACACCGAAAAAAAAGTGTTAGCTTGATACTATATTTCTTAATATTTAAAATATATGTTTTGTTGAATTTCATATGTTATATTTAATTAAAATATGTTTAATTAACAAAATAATATTTACTTGGAAGGTTTAGTCACGTTAATAATATTGTTCGCGCACTTTCGGCACTTTGAAAATTACAAAATTGTAATATATCGCTCGATACATATAAAGATAAGATTAATATTCGCTCTGGAAAAAAACTGATATCGCGCGAATAAATTTAATCTGACAACGAGCTCGCGGAAACGCATCACGAATTCAATCCTGAAAAATTCTGAAGCGAAGGGTTTATCGCGCCACTCGGTTGCGCTTGTGCAAATAGCGCTAAAAGCGTCCAGACCTCTCCTCCTGGCAAGAGAGAGCTTTTTAAGTCGCAGCAAAGCTGGACGATGCATATTCATTTCGAACTCGCATCGTTCCGCTTTTCCCCATCTATCATTTTTATCTTTAATAATTCGGGATGACAAAGCTCGGCTCAACGATTACATTGCCAAATCGCATAAATTTCACAGAGCTGTGAAAACATTAAGAGAGTATCGACGTCTCTTGGAACCTTTTTTCCCCGTTTGGCTCCAAAAATATACGCTAAATGTAAGTCGATAAATCGATGGAACGTAGTGTACTATATAAATTAATTGTTCGACGAGAGTTTGTACCTTCGAAAGTCTGCTCTTTCCGTGTGCACATATATTTTGCATCGTTATTTGATACGTGTCATGTCAGAACGCTGATGTTTCCTGATTTATGCGGAAATGTGCACGCGATCTTCTCGCACCCAGGGAAGAAATGCGAAAAACAAAGAACGTGAATAAAACCACGCCAAACCGTGCAAAGTAACGCGTAGCGTATCGCGTGCCCTTGTTATGCATATATAATTATATGTATATACGGCGAATTCACCGACGTGGCGTTGCAAGTAGCAATTTTCGTAACACAGCTTTTTGAACGCGGTGACGTAACGTTTGCCCGGCTCTTTCGTTTTGGACGTATAATACGTATTCGCGCCTTGGGTCATATATTCCGTTGCATCGTTTTCCTAGTCCCTTTTCCCGCGCAATGCACGTATACACCTATATACACGTGCAGCCAAGGGATGCATTTACATCTCCAGTAAAGTTGACGCGCTCATTTGCAAATGTATAGGATCCTCTCGGAAAATGTATTTAGAGTTGCAACAACTTGTTTTTCTCGCCATTTTCAGCTGTTACAATTTCTCGTAAAAATCTTCACCGAGCTTTTTCAAGCGCAACAATCCGACGAATTAATATGCATAAAGTTATATTTGTGCAAAAATATTGTGGAATATTATTTCTAGACTTCGAGTATTACGAGTAAACAAAAATTCAATTTGGTTAAGCATATACATACATCGGAAGCTTTCGCTCTCGATTTAATCGTCGAAAGAGGTGTAAACAACCAACACAGGATCATATTTCTCAATTAATTATAGGCACTAAGCTTTTTCTCGATAAGAGTTCAATTTTATGCTTAATTAACTAGTTGTTTCACATTATGATTAAAACAATCGGATTAAAACTTGTAAATGAGCAACTCAATTAACAAAGATTTGTTTTTTCATTTAATCTTGATAAATTTTTATTTTAATATGTGTATAATAATGTAATATTATTATTCATTGCTGTTTACTCTTGTGCTATCAAACAAATGACAGCTCTTTTAATAAACGCGATAATAAAAGTCTTCTTCACTACACATTTCGAAATATTCTAATATCGTTTAATAATTAATTTCAATTATTATTTTTTCCAATTCAATTGTTATATTAATTTCATTTACCATCACTATTTGAATTATCATTATTGAAATGTCAATAATTTTTTCCCATATTAAATTCAAGTTCTCAAAGTTATATCTCTCCATATATTTTTCCAAAAACTTGTCATTGGAATTATTCACGTCTGTCTGAAAACATTTGCCGAGCACTCAAAATTTCTAGACCGATAGGCAAAATGGACAAGTATAGACTAGGAACGACAGATAAGTTGACAGAATCGAACAAACAGACAGGGGCTTAACTTCCGCAGCGCTATAAATGCATTTCATGTTCGATTATTCATATCTGCCGTGTTCGAGATCGACGAGATACGATTATGCGAGACATTTGCGAACTTGGCACAGTTTTGTATTTATAAAGAGAGAAGGACAGAGAGAAAAATAGGCGTTTCGCCAAGTAAAAAGGTAAAAACTGATGCTTTTTACGGGATTACAAGAGACGTACGTCGATATACGATTGACGTAGTCCCGTCCAATTTTAGCATTACAGAGAGAAAGAGAGAGACGGATGAGCTATAGCACGCTTTGACACGATGCCATTAAATCGGTCGACATTCACATTTCGCACTGGGATGTCTTCTCGTGTCTGCAACTTGCACATCTCTCCCTCGAATATCAGAATTTTCATCCATGCAACTGCGACAGGGTGTAAAATTTTTACATAAATCTGTGCCTGCATCTTCCCCGAGTTACGATCGGAATACCTGCGAAATTGCCTGTTCGCAGCATTTCCTCATCTTTTCAAATGCTTTATAAATATGTATAAATATTTATGCAATTAATTTTATTTATTTTTTTAAATTGTAGATTTTCGAATTTATTTTCTTTTTTTTTCTTTGTGCACTCTCTTGTCTCATCCTTCTTTTTGTATAAAACGAGGAATTCGATGTATTATCGCATCGTCCGCTGTATCCGTAAACAGCAATTTAACGTTCGTCAAAGAAAATCAACGTAGCTCATGTTACGAAGATTTCCATCGTAATTGCGAAATCTGAGCGTTTCCCTTTGGGAGTAATTATGAAGAGTCGCGTGATAAATTCGGTGCAGCGATGACTTTGTCGAAAACATGGTACTTCAGAGGAAGCCAGGATGAAGAAGGGAAACTTTGCGCGCTCTTTTCGTCATACATCGCGTTGCATGATAACAAGATACAAATAACAAAGTTAAATAACGATTGCGAGTCGCGTTATACGGTTATCCGATTCTTACCTTAAAGATGTATATATGCATCTATCTCGGGGAACTAGATGGTCCTCCCATCGGGAGAAACTTTTCTAACAACCCGAGCTGACAAAAGGAGAAGCAAAATTTGTAGACATATCGCAGACAAAAGAGCACTTTTAGGGGGAAAAATTTTTAACTAAATATTTTCGAAAAAAAAAAAAAAAAATTCTTTCGTCTTCAAAATTTTCCTCTATTGAACGGATTCGAGCTCCGTGCGGTTTTTCGAGTATAATATAAAAACAAACGCGAATATTGGCAGAAATGAAAAACACGTGAAAAATTATTCTCCCATTCACTCGAGAGGAAGAGAGACGGATACAATATGTATATGTATATCGGAAGAGAGAGAGCCGACGAAATTCGAGCGAGAGCCGGGATTTCTCGTTAGCGAATTCGACGCGAATCAATCAGCAAACGAGCTCGCTACTGCGCTGCTCCGGCATTGTTGGTCCAGCGCGGAGAAAAGAGAGAGCGAGAGAAAGAGAAGCGGATAAAGGACCGTCGCGGATATAATTGGGCTCCTCTAATGATTGTCCAAAATGATTATGTTTTAGTGTGGGCGGGAGCGTTGAGCGCCGCGGTTTCTCGCGGTTCAGCGCCGCTGATCGTCGGCGCGTGCCGTCGCGGCAATACGAGGCTCACGGCGGTGATCGGCGGCCTCGTGCTGGCTCTGGCATCCCTGTTCACCTCGTTCGCGCTCCATATGCATCAAGTGCTCCTTAGGTGAGTGAACGCCTAGCTACGGTTTCATTGGCTGCTTAAGTATTTATTATGCACAGTGTTTGCTGTTATCTAAATTCAATTATATAGATGATCATCATTTTGGCGTCATCTTATCTTTGTATAGATGATAAAGATATGTCTGCATCTTAGATAAAAAAAAGGGTTATCTTTATTAAATTATCTGGAATAATAATATTTGCAGATAATTTGGTTTAGTCGTAAGAGAAAAATACTTAAGTAGCAGAACTCGACCGATAAGTGAACTTTGAATAAATTTGTTTATTAAACAATTTAAATATTTTTTCGGTCACAAATTTTATAGCTATAGTTTGAAAAAAAGGAATGCTGTATTAAAAAAATCTACATCGTTATGCAGGGATTTTTCGTCGAAATATGAGCAAGAGGCTCGTCGATGTTATTTTTTTATATACACAACGAAAACGAGCGTTAATTGCGTAATTTTCATCATTTTTTAAATTTTCTCATGTCAGAATCGCGAATTCTATCGGCAGTTCGAGAAGAAAGGAATATTATATTCCGCAAAATCCATATGTATTGTTACGCAGAAAATTTTCGAGATACGAGCCTTGAATAAAATGTCACATATTCCATATACATTACATATGGGGAGCAACATACAAATCTACATACGCGGTATAACAGTTACTTATTCAGTTCAGTTTCAGCCTTTTAAAGTGCGGCTTTCAATATTACGTTTCATAATAGCACCCTATTTTTCATTCAGAGAAAAAAATCGGGTTAAATAAAAATAAAAGAGGGAAAAAAAAGGAACGAACTCTCTTGCGGTTCGACGCATCCCGAGCTCTTTCCAAGTTTCTTTGAAACGTCAACGACACACACTGTGTATATGTGTGTTTGTACAGCCACCCTTTTTCCCCGATAAAGATCCCCGGCAACTTATCCTCTCTCGCGCAAACTTGACTCGGGCTGTATATATATATAAAGTCATACGATTTTACAAAATGCAACAGCTACGGACTGGTGCTGGGTACCGGCGCCGGCCTCGTGAGAGAAACCGCCGGTCTGGTATTGGGCAATTACTTCAGGAAACGGCGGGAGTTCGTCGAGATGGTGGTGCAAGCCGGCACCGGCGTTGGAATAGCGCTTTTCAGCGTCTTCTACAAGGAAGCCGTCGGGTGAGTTGTTACATGTTATCATGGGTTTAACGCGCTCGCGCGTTAAAGAAAGGAAAGAGAGAGAGAGAGAGAGAGAGAAAGAAAATATGTACATTAAGCGGTAAATATCCTGGGGATATTGCGCGCGCGGCTGACATTCCGCTCGAACTGAGCGGAAAAGGATCCGCGCGCACGATCGATCTCCGATCGCGGTTATTTCTTCCCACACGTGTTGTATATTCGAGAGATACGCGAATACCGTTGAAATAACAATATTACAAAAAAGTTACAAAGGTACATTGTTCGCGTTTCAGGAATTTATCACTGCGATATTATTGCGAACACAAATGTCACAGTCATTTTTATATTTACGTCATTCAACAATCTATCTATTTTATGAAATCTATTTTATTATATAATCTATTTTTTTAAATAATAATTTGATTGTTTTTATGTTTCTTATATAGCAATTGAATTTTTGATTGAATTTAAATAACATAACGTGTACAATGCTTTTTATCTTGATTTCTAATATTTTTATGAAAGAATTAGCCTCGAGATGTTTTTTTATAATTATAATATATATATATATTTTATTATTTAAAAAAAGATTTTTATTTTCAAATTGATTTATATATTGGATTAAAATTAAATAAAACAAACATGTGTGTGTGCAATTTTTATAATTCTATTAGAGTGAAGCCAAGATAAAAATTGTACGTGTGTATTATATATATATTATTCACTTTTAATAAAATAATTCCACTATTAAAAGATATAAAAATGCAATTTTACATATTTTACAAATAATTTTAACTTTGACAAAAATTTAATCCGGATCTCTTAATTATTATCGATTCGTTTAATATTGAGATATTTACAAAAGAGGATGTATATAACAGAATACAATAGTTCTCTGACCGAGAGACGAGTAAGTCTAGGAAAATCTTGTTCACATAAGTGAAAGCTAAACCGCCCATATACGGTATGTACATATACAAATACACCGGCGTTTCCTCGAGGAAACGTGTTTTCGAAAACGATCGTTGAAGAGAATTTCGCTAGCGATGGGTAACGATATTTACTCGTCCAGACCAGAGAGCCGTGACTCTCTCGAAACAAATTGTTCGCGACGAGAAGTCCGTCGTATAACGTAGGTACAGACGGAACACGAGCATGTTTTCCACCCTTTTATCGTAGGTTTTCGCGCGACTGCGTGTCCCCGCAATCCGTATATATATATATATATATATTTTCGTGGTGTGCGACAGTTTTCGCGGACAAAAAATAAAGCGAACAGATTCGACGTGGAATAATTGAACATTCTATTCGGATTCAACTCTCAATTCTCCCTTTCGCGGGTTTCGTTTTTGTTATTTATTTATTTATTTTTTTTTATATACCTTTCGCCGACGCGATGTCAGAACAATTTGTTTGAATGTTTGTTACAGCGTTTGTTAGTTAGCGTCGTTGATTCGTTCATTCGGCGCGATTTTGCATCCTTTTGCCAATTTTTTCTCGGCTATACAATTTTTTTTTGTAATTTTATCTTCGAATGTTTGGAATACGCGGACTCTATAAGATATATATCGTATTCTTGGTAAAATCTATAAAAGGTTATTATTTAATTAATTTTTTCTTTTAATCTTAACTATGACTTAAATTAGAATTTTATCGGAGTTAAAATTGCGGAACAAGGTCTCGTTATGTAATTTCCAAAAGAGAGTTTCTAATATGATCCCTGAAAGTTTTAATACTTGAATACTAAATAGTTGACAGAGGAAAAAAGAAGAGGGAGAGAAAGAGAGAGAGATGCCTCGATATTAAAACAATATTCGTTTTTTCCTCAATTAATTTTTCTCCGGTGTTTGTAATGAAATAAAAACATCAAACGGAGTTTTACCACGTTTTACGCGTAAAAAATGCGGGTAATTATTTATTATCTCTCGACATAAATAATGAAAGAATAATGCTTATTTTCTAGAATTATCATATGGGAATAAAATTATTGATGCGCTCGAAAACTTTCGTTAACGAGGCAAATATATGTAATCTTGTATACGCGAACCTGCGTGTAGATAAATACCAGATCGTTGCACATGCGGGTTATTAAGCGGTCGTTTAATTGCCCTTGCATTACTATGCGGCGGTCTCTGTTAGGTACATAAGAGCGTGGTCTAATTAGAGATCGGCCTCTTCTGGACCGACGGGCATAATATCGTCGAGTTAGCGAAGTAACCCATTAAGTCGATACGGCTTACTCAATAACCTCGATAAGTTTCTCTGCTATATAGGAGGTCAACGATACCGTACCAGGTTACGTGTTGCAGTGCAAGAATTCGCGAAAGTTTCGAAATAATTGGAGCGATATGCGTTGAAGTTAAAAATTAAAAAAAAGAACAAAATATACATAGGCACACGCAGTCGCAAAAAATGCATGCAAAAAGTTGAAAATATTCTTTATATCATTTTTTTTTTGAATAACCGGACGAATCATTCTGCTTCTAATTGGGTTCTTACTTTGTTGAACTATTTTAATGGTCTCAATTCATTGTAAATATATTTTGCGTTTTAACTATGACTCAACTATATAACTTATATTGACTATGTATTGCGGATTTTTTATTAGAATTTTATGTATTTATTTATTATCGTTATTTATTATCACTATTTTTTTGCGCACTGAAGAGGAGCAAGTAGAGCTCGAAACATTTGTATAATTGTTATTTCAAATTAAGAATTTTCTTCTCAATAATAAAATAATATCGTATTGCTCGTTACACATGGCCTTAATTTAATAATTTATCATTGTTTTTATTGTCATACGAGCTTGAGCATTGGTATGTGATGTTTTGATTAGGTATTAATTTAGCATTGCTTTTTACGCTGGCCTGAAAATGCGTTATACTAATATTCCGTTTAGATTTCATCGTTTCAATTTTAAGTTCTTATATAATTCATTTGGGGGAGAAATAACATGGAGGTTAAAGCAATGGATTGATTTAAATTATCAAATAATCAAAGCTAGATCAAAGTTGAATTTTTTAAAACATTGTAAAAATTTTGATGTCTTACCTAACCACTTGACGTCGTATTGTAGGAATCAATTTTGTTTGCATCACTTTAGATCGAAAAAAAAGGCTTGATAGCTTGCTGTACAGATTCAAAAAACAAATTTTAAATATTGAAATCAGAGATTTATATAGATTAATTAATTTATTACATGGTAAACTTTACAATATTTCAAGATATGTGGCTAACAAACTGCCAGTACACATATGGAACGAAATTTTAAGACATCATTTCATCTCATTTGACATGTTTCATAACAGACTACATAACAAACATAATAACAAATTTAATTGGCTAATTAAAAAGAAACAAGACGAATATCTGAGAAATATCAAACCGATTAAACTTAGTTATTCCATCAACAAAATAGACATTCCACAATCAACAATTTCAGTAAACAATAATATAAACAAAGACATTGTCATATATCCTAATAAATTCAGAGACAAACATATTAATCCTCTAACCAGTACTAACGAAAAATGGTTTATTAATTTGACTGACACAATAATTCCTACCAATGTCACTAATCTATTACAATTTGGAAGTAAATTCGGCCTGCCGTTTAAGAATGACAAAAAGTTGGCCATACACGAGTTTATCAAAGATATAGAAGGGAATTCCACTAGTTCTAACATGAAAAATTTAAATACATTACGTAACAATCTGGTTCCACAACTTTCCTATTTTTTACACGGCAAAACTAAGTTTAATTCAACTCATGAAGATTTGATTAGTATGTATAAATATACAAGGAGGTTTTGCCATGATAATCCGGATATTCTTTTTACAAGGGCTGATAAGGGCAACGTAACAGTCGCGATGACAAAAGAATATTACACGAATAAGATGGAAGGTTTACTTGAAGACAATAGCACCTATTCTATCATAAAAAAGAACCCATCCTCCAAAATAGAAAAGGAACTAAACGATATTCTTAAGAAATGGCAAAAAAAAGGGTACATTTCTAATAAAGAATATTACTCACTACGTTCCAGCGACTCCCTTCTTCCAAAATGTTATGGTCTCCCAAAAATACACAAGGAGAATACTCCATTTAGAGTAATTGTGTCATCGATTAATACCACGCTTTACTCGATAGCCACATTTTTACATAAAATCATTTCAAATAGTATTCCTACGGGAAAAAGTAATGTAAATAATAGTTTTGAACTTTACAGCAAGCTAGCGGGTAAGAAAATTGGTGCGGAAGATATTCTAATATCATTAGACGTGGTTTCACTATTCACTAACATTCCGATAGATCTTGCAATAGAAAGTGTGAGTAATAGATGGAATTATATCAATACACATACATTAATTCCAAAAAATGAATTCATTTCCATGGTTAAATTTATATTGTCGTCAACATACTTCACATTTAATGACATTGTATACAAGCAAGTTTATGGCACACCTATGGGTTCCCCGTTATCGCCAATAATTGCTAATATTGTTATGCAAGATCTTGAAGAATCAATAATTAATGAATTGGACATCGGTATTGGAATATATTATAGATATGTAGACGACATTATTATGGTGGCATCAAAGAATAAAATTGATAGCGTATTGAATAAGTTTAATAGTTACAATCAACGACTACAATTTACGATTGAATACGAAATTAATAGAAGCATAAATTTTCTAGATTTAAACATTAAAATAATAGACAACATCATACACTTAGATTGGTTTCAAAAAAAGACATGTTCAGGTAGAGTACTATCTTTTTTATCGAGTCACCCTATGTGCCATAAAATAGGAGTAATTTATAATCTTATTAATAGGGCATTGTTATTATCTCATCCCATATATCATAAGAAAAATTTAGAATTGTGTATTAAAATATTATTGGACAACGGTTACCCTATTCATTTAATCTTTAAAGAAATAAATAAGAGAATAAGAGTTTTAAACAATGGTCAGTTTAACAACAATAGAAAAAA